ACTCTACTATAAATAACAGTTTGCTTGACTTTGTTTTAAATAAGAAAATGTTCATAACAACCCTATATAAATACACCCCTGTTCTATACTGCAGACTCCTCCACAATGTAAACATTTTGCTCTTTCTCCCACATACATTGTAAATCTAACATCTGTACCATCTGTAACATTTGACCTGTATGTCCACTCCTTCACAAGGTTCTTTATAGAAACATAGAAATGATAAATTATGTGATCTCTTATCTTACATTTGGATTATCTTCTCCCTAATAACTATGCCATCATTTGTAAAGGTAACTCTTAAAGACAAGATAGCAGATTGTCATACTGCCACGTCACTGTGTGGAGTTGAGCGCTTGCAGCAGTCATTCGGGCAAAGTTGATGCTTTCTCTTTGTGAACCTCTCCCTCCTTCCTTATTTTACTCCACTGCTTGCTATTTCTCTCCCTCCTCTATGACTCAGTTCTCTGATCTCACTCCCTCAGGGCAGACACAGAGATCATTTTTTTCTCTTGTGAATGACCACAACAAACTTTGACCAGAACATTTCACTGGCATCTGCTGCCCAAGACAATAAACATGCTGTGCAGTGTCTCCTTGACTTTTCCCTTAATGAACCAAACTCCAGTCCCTCTCTTATACTGCTCTCACTGGGAAATATTTCACCTATAGTTCACTTACTGTGCTGGTTTGTAGTTTACTTTTGGGTTAACACAATGATTTTCAACCCAGGGTACTGGTATGCCAAGGGGCACATTTATAGAGCTCTGCATGGTCAGGCCCCTGCCTTCTGCCGCCCTATATTACCAGAAGGTCTCTATGGTCCTCTGATCAGGGTTTGTTGGTTGTACCTCAATCGAGGCTTAAAGGACACTGTGCTTTTAAGGTTGTGGCTCCCAAACTTGGAACTCGCTCCCTTTGGACTTCAGATCTGTGGACACCTTTAATAAGCAGCACAAGACCCAACTGTTTAGACTGGCCTTTGTATAATTGTATTGTATAATCTTATTTCTTTTGTAAAAGTTTAAGACTTGTGAAAAATGCTATAAATAAAGTTACTTACATACTAACTTAACATATGGATAGTTGAAATTGATAAACATATTTAGCAAAAACAAATGGAAAGAGTTGACACAGCTAAAAGTAATGAATAAATGGCTAAGACTGCAAATAGTAGTATTACAATAACAAAGTTGGCCAAAAAGACCTAATTAATTAGGCTGTATTTTTAGAAATTGCGCCAATATCTACTTTTATGTAAGGAATAAGGTTAAATTACATCCACAATCAATTGATACTATTATTCATTTTTGATTAATCACATATCTTCTTGTACTTTTTGTGTTAAAATAGGTTTAACATTTATAGTAAATGTTCTGGACACACGTGTACACACAGGCATTTGCAACGTGATATGAGCAATAAAGTCAGTTACTGGCTTCAGACAAGTCATCTGCTGGTACACTAGTTATCCATGATTAATGGCTGCTTTTAAAAATGTCAGACACCATAATGTGGATAACAGCATGAAGCCATGACGTCAGCCGTGACTCGTTGCTTTATTACGCGCTGACCGGTGGTGCTGCTAATTACCCGTGGCTAATTGTTGGTACATGCAGCACACAGACACGGTGTCCAGGAGCTGTAGATATTTCTGAGAGATTAGCAGTTTGAGAGGCCAGTTAAAGGTGAGATTAAGACATTCCCTGCATGTTCTCTGTGAAATCCGCCTATTTTTGACCACTTAAATCATTTACATGTGATTACTTTTGCTTTGCTGAGGCTAGCCAGTCAGTCAAACTGCATGTATGGTGAGTTCAAGTTGTGTGGTCAAGTGTTTGATGGAAGTGATAAAAAATTAAACACAGCATTCTCATTAATGTTCAAATGTAAGATTTGGTCAAGATTCCTATTGTTAGTGTGATACTATTGTTACTACTACTGTTTTTGTATACATGTTTAATCCATTTATAATTTTGTGATCCGGATCATCCATACTGTAGGGATCCCTTCTCTCTTGTTCTTTTGAGGTTTCTTCCGTTTTATCTCCAGTTAAATGGTTTTTTGGGGACTTTTTCCTTAACCAAATCCATTTTTGATATTGGGCTCTATAAATAACATTGACTTGAGTTGAACTTTGTTGTTGGTGGCTGTTTATAGTCAGCTTGTTGGGTATGTTGAAATGGATATGCTTAGCTATAAAGATTGGTTTGTATATATGTCTGCAACTGTTCTTGTTCACTTCTGCCTCATTCCCACAAAACCCTCCACACCACAAATAATACTTCACACGTTTGCATGCCACTTATATTGAAATACTTTAAACAGCAGATGAAAACCACCACAAGTGTCAAATTCATATTTACAATTTAATGCAAGCTCTGTGTTTTTTAAATTCGACATAATGTGTGATATGTCACATTATGTCTCATGTTGAGATCATACAGTGTATTGCCTATACATTAGGGTAATAATCTAAACCTTAAGTAGATTAGGTGTAATCTTCTTACTGTGCCATAATTAAAGATTTTCACATACATGGATTGATAGCTACTGCCAAATCCGTTTAGGAAATCTGGCACCCAATCACTCAAAGCTGTGCTAACTTGTAAAGCTCACTGTTACGTCAGAAGGCCCTCTGCTGCATCGCAGTATAAACTGCTGCCTCACAGAAAACACACCTGCATTATAGGAACCACAGCCGCATGAGAGGACCCAATGAGGAAACTACAACACAGCACAAACAGCTGTATCACAGCTTCAACTGCTGTGCCACATCGCCAAGTGAACTGTTGCAGCATGCGGCCAGATGTTACATCACAGGGGGAATTGGCTGAATCACAGAGTAAACTGTTGCCTCACAGGTCTTGGACTCACTTTATCTCTTGATTAGATTTGATTTAACAGTGAGAATTAACTTGAAATGTAGAACGTGCAGGAAACCGCTCTGCCGCTATTACCAATGGTTGTTTTTAAAACATAAAAACCTACCAGTCAATGAGAAAATATTTTCTTTGGCTTTGGTACAGTATAACAGAGAAAGTCTCTATGTACACAGTGGATTTCAGCAACATTTATTAACATTGGAAACAGGCAGATCAATTGGTCGCACTAAAGAAGATAATAGTCCATATAATTGTGTATGGCAGCGAGGTTATTAGGAAACCAAATAATAGGCACACAGGTAATATCAAAACAAAGTAACAGATTGAATGAAGAATTGTTCAAATCCAAAAAAGGTATGTAAGAACTAAAAAAGGGGTTAAAGATAAGAAACAAATAAATCAGTAAACAACATAACAATTATGTTGAAGCAAAACAAATGTAGAAATGATATTGTGCGAATATTAGGAGTCAGTTCCTCGAGATAAAATGGTTGTTGTTGCTTTTTCTCCAGTCAGGTGCAGCAGCGTCAGTGGATGTTTAAGTCACATGCTTCATGAACGTCATGCTCTATTCTCTACTTCCATTGCACTTTGTCACATTTTTGCTTACACCAACTTTTCCACCTTAGCCAAACATATTTTGCAATACCTAAACTTTTCCAGTTTTTTTTATGCACAAATTGAAAATGTGCATCAAAACAAGTGCTATAATCATTATAATCTGATTTAAAAACTTTCTAATAAAACTTCTCACTTCTCTGATGATTTGTTGGTTAGAAGATCATAAAATACTTTTATTGTGTTTTAGGAATGGAGCCTTTTTGTGGCATTATTTATTTGTAGAGCTTGAGAGAAAGACAGTTATTTTTTTTACAATGTAATGCTATATGAAAAAGCACTATTCTTTCTGACCTTTGTTGTTGACAGTCTTTTTGGTGCCTTTTAAGTCTATGTGTCTATCTGGACATGACACAAATAAGCAACTATCACTGAGACTGTCCTTCCTAGAAAAACGAAAAAACATCAGTTGCTTCAGCAAAAGCCCCAAAACATGTGTTTAGGTTTAAGTGACAAAGTCCTCAAGCAGCCTGAGTAATTATGACTCTTGTCTGTCTGGAGCAAAGGAAGAAGTAATGTGTCATTGTTATAGAAACACTGAGTCTACAGAGGGAGGCAGTCTGGGTGGCGAGTGGGTGAACCCAATGTTTGAGACCACTGTTCACTTCCTGCTTCCTACCAACAGTGGTCACATGGTCACTCTCTAACCTTAACCAAGTGGTTATTATTGTTACCATGACGAAGAAGGTCCCCTAATCTTATTGACGTAATTTTATCCCAAACCACGATCTTTCCATAACTTTAACCGAGTTGTTTTTGTGCACAAACCTAACCAAACCTTAAAACATGGGGTTGTAAGATCAGAAAACACAGTGATTTGAACCAGTTTGAAACCCTTCATTGTGAAAGTCTGCTTGATTCAGCTGCCAAGCACAGTGAGACATCTACACAGGACTTTGATTCTATCTGGACAGAGGTGGGAGAAATATTAAAGAAAAACTGCTACTCTCCTACACCGAAAGCATGATTGCTGCTATACTCTGTGTTTGCAGGCTTACCCAGGTTTGTCTGGCAGGCGCAAGCTCAAGGACAGACAGATAAGAGAATACGAGGACACACACACACACACCTACACACTCACTGAGCATACGTACACACACACACACACACACACACACACACACACACACACACACACACTGATTGAGCATACATACACACTAACACATGTTTCCAAGACTAAGTCAAATATTTACAAAAATCAGGGAAAAGTGAGAAAGGAATGAAACATTGTCTCAAATAATATAATCTCAATGCAGTATTCATTAAAGGGCTCTATAGCCAATATGCCAGTTCCTCTTTCTTCATAACAACCCAAGGAGTGGGAGTATTTATTTTAAATTTATGTTTGGTAGATTATTTCTTTGTTGTAACAATGCTTCTTAGCAATAAATCTTATAGCACTAGAAAGCCTGATTATTTCCCTTTTAAATGGTGCCACATTTGTAAGGAACATGCATTTGTGGGATGAGCAGCAGAGCTGAGTATGTGGGTTGCGCCCATGAAAAATTTGCCAAATCTTCTCTGCCAATACCAAACAGCCTTTCTTTGCTGTTGACTCTTATTTGGTGTTGTTTGGTATATTGGATGATTGAAGTCTGAAGAAACAAGACATATTGGCAATTTAACAATTTAGTAATTTATCAAAGAGGAGCATTAGTAGCGTGTGGAAGAACCACAACAACCTGGCACCTCCTCTTCATGCTGGTCACCAGCCTGGTCACACACTGCTGTGGGGTGGCATCCCATTCTTCAACCAGCGTTTGTCACAAGTCCGCCAACGTGGTTGTGTTTGTCACTCTGGCACGAACAGCACGCCCAAGCTGATCCCACAAGTGTTCAACAGGGTTGAGGTCAGGACTGCTGGCAGGCCATTCCATCCACTCCACTCCCAAATTCTGGAGGTAGTCTCTGATAAACCCCACTCTGTGGGGGCGAGGGTGGATAGAGTTTGGTCCCAGACTGTGGAGATATGGGATTGCAACTGGTTGCAGAATTTAATTTCGATATCTCTCTGCATTGAGATTGACTCCAATGATGACAAGCCTCGTTTACGGGTACCAGAAGATCAAATTAAAAGTCAATAGCAACAGCAAAGACTTGGTATTGGCAGAGAATATTTGGCAAATCTTTCATGGGCGCAACCGACATACTCAGCTCTGCTGCTCATCCCACAAATCCCTCAATCCCAAAGTTCCTTACAAATGTGGCACCATTTAAAAGGGAAATAAACAGGATTTCCAATGGTATAAGATTTACATTACACAAGCATTGTTACAACAAAGAAATAATCTACCAAACACAAATTTCCTTATTTTGTATGCAGTTTATATATATATATATGTTGTAGTTAAAATCAATCTACTCACATATATAGACATATATTGTCACTTTTACACACTTGACACTCACATGCATGTCTCCTCTTTTTTGGTATCTATTACTTTCACTAACACAGAAAGTTCCTCTTTAAGCAGAAAGTAATGCTTGTACCAGGAAATAAAACTTGCTCAGCTCATCCTAACCTGATATGAAATAGCAGAACTATGCAATGATGCAATTCAAAGTCATCTTGTATTCTTAGTTAGCTTTTCATTTTGGCAGTAAGTAACAATGAACAACAACAATCAAACAAATGCAAAGGAGAGCAACATAGTGTTTGCTCATGAGAGACTGTATGGAGAATTTTCAAACCATATCTGAGATTTAAAATCAAGATTTGTTGAATATTCAATAAATAGAGAAGCAGTCAATATCTTAGAGTCTCTGTGGCAATTAAATACATTATGAGAGTTTCTCAGCCAATCACAGCACGATTAATGACCTGCCTTCCTTCCTCCTATTAGTCCTTCCTCTTTCCAACATATTCTCTCTTACACATACATACATTTTCTACATTTACATGCATATATGTGTGCATTTAAATGTATAAATATGAGAATAAAAATGTGTGGATGTAAGAATTAAAATAAATTGATGTGAGAGTGAGAGCATATGTATGTGAAAGGAGAATGTATGTGAGAGGGCCAGAATGAATTATGGCTTGTGCAGCCCTTCATAAACTTCACAAGCTCCCATGAAGAGTGCATGTCAGGACATTTTTGGCAGGGGATCTGTGATGATTTATCCACAATTCATGGAGTTACTTCCCCAATGGATCTCAAGATATGCCTTTTGGGCAACCTCTCACATTCTAATCTTAAACATAGTCATTACATCAAGCTTACAAAAATTTATACTGCTCACTGCCAAAAAATGTATTGCAGTGAAATGGAAGTCAGATCTCCCATACCCAGTTGGATTGTGGCTCAGTTACATACCTCTGGAAACAAAACTTTACTCTTGGAGTATCCTGGTAGCTCACCTGGTTGAGGGTGAAGAAAAGATTCCATGTCAGGTACTGTGAATGTAACCAACCTATCAACAATCAGGCAAGCCCTAATGGGATTTCACTTCCTGCAGTGGGTACACATACTGTATAAACAATGTTAAATCAAGTGGAGATGAAAGCCAGTAGCCTAATCTTAACTCTTTCTATGCCAGTGAGATAATACAGAAAAGTTAACAGTGCGCTGGATTTAATAAAGCAAGAATGTTTTTTACTTCACTCCTGGGTGAAGTAAGGAGAGATAAACATGAACTCACTGGCACATAGTCATCGCAGCCCTGCATTACACTTCTCTCTTCCCTTTTCCTTCTCCTTCTCATACCTCCCGTTCCTACCACACTCCCCCTCTCCTGCTTCACCGTCCCCTTCTCCACTTGCCTGCCCCTAAGTGTATCTCATTTTAGCAGTGACTATCTGTAAGCCAAGAGCGGCTGTCACCAGATCCCCCAGAGGTCTTAGGAATGGCATGTGTTCCCAATTGGCAGCTTAACGGACGCTGACCACACAACTACACACCCGGGGGGTTTTCTGGAGGCCAAGGTGGGTGAGCTACAGGTTGTAGCTTATCAATTTTTACCACAAAGTAAAAGTTAAGACTAGGATTCACAG